GTACTAGAAATGATGTGTGACATGGAGCCTTTCCATTGTTAACACAAAATACAGTGAATGCTGCTGCTGAATGCAATCCAACAGAAAGGCAGGGATCTTCAATGTGGAAAGCAGCGTGTTGAACCTTAGTAACAGTGTGTGACAAGTTTCAACTTGTTCGGTACAGTCAGTCAGGTGTGAGCTATGTTTGAGAGAAGGTGCCTTAAATCATGTATCATGAACAACACATTAACATGAAATGAGCAAACGGCTTCATCCACCATCATGACAATGCTCCATGTCACACATCACTTCTGGTATAGCAATTTCTGTTACATAAAAATGTTATAGTGTATTCCTAATCCACTTTATTCATTGGATCTGGCACTCTGGGACTCCGGGCTCTTCCCCAAAGTCAAAATGACCATGAATGTTTTGAATCATTCAGAAAATTGAGGCAGCCATGACAGCTCAACTAAAGACACTCATGAAAGAGGACTTCCAGAACTGCTTCATAAAGTGGCAAGAATGACCGGTAAGTGTGTTTGAAGTGAGGGGGGGTATTTTAAGGGGGATTAATGGCAATGTGTCTTTTACTGCAATAATTTTTTTTTAAAGATTTTATTGGGGAATTGGGGGAAGGGAAACAGACAAGTTGCTGTCCTTTTGTTCTTTAGTCTAGCTGTGGAGGAGGTCGCTTCGCTGGCCCATGTTAGTATTATCATTGCGCTCTTCCCTGGTGAGGCAGATCAGTTGCCGGCCTCTGGACAGCTGCTCATGGCAGCTCCTGGCAGCTCACACCGGCTGCTGGCCACTCACGCTGGCTGCTGGCAAAACACAGTAGCTTATGGCAGCCCACTGCAGCAGGGGCTGCAGCCTACGCTGTGGCCGGAGACTCATGGCAGCCCAGCTCCGGGTTGAGCTATTGTTCACCATCTTAGCTCTAGAGGGCAGTGTCACTGGCCCTCACGTGGGATCTGAACCGGGGCCCTGCTGCTCAGAGCTGGTGACCCAAGCCAGCTCTTAACCAACGTGTCACTCGGCTGACACCCAGATTTTTAAAATTTAAACATTCACCATGTTTTGACCACACCTCACATGTACCCTTGTAGGGACACATTAGGGATTCCCCCACATAAGCCCCCAGAACCAGGATTGTAAGTTTGCTGCCTGAGCAAAAGCTTGGCAGTCAGCTGAGCCCCCAGAACCAAGATTGGAAGGTTGCTGCCTGAGCAAAGCTTGGCGGTCAACTAAGGGTTAACTGAGAGACGCTGGATGCTTGCCACACTGAAACCAGTGTGTGCTCAGCCAGAGTCCTTGAAAACTGTTTTGCTTTTCTTGAGCTAAAAAACAACTCTTAGACTAAGCATTTCTCCTTTAGCTTTAGGGGTGTACTTGTCATTTCCTACCACCTGTTTCTCTGTTATCTCTAATAAAAGACTGAAGTCAGTGAGGATGCGTGGTCAGACTTTGCTGTCTGTCCTCCTCCCCGCTATCTGCATTGCATTTCTGTCTCATCCTTGGTGTCTCCGGTTGCAAGTGCGACATACCCTCATGTTCACTACAGCATTTTTTACAGTAGCCAATACATGAAAGCAACCTTAATGTGCATCAATGGGTGAATGGATAAAAAAAAAACATGAGTGATTTTATATATATATATATATATATATATATGGAATACTGTCCAGCCATTAAAAAAAGAAGGAAATGTTGCCATTTGCAACAACATGGGTGTACCTTGAGGGCATTATGCTGAATGAAATAAGTCAGACAGAGAAAGACAATTATCATATGATCTCATTTATATGTGAAATCTGAAAAACAAAACAAAACAACCAAGCTCATAAATACAGAAAACAAATTGGTGGTTGGCAGGAGGAAGTGGGCAAAATGAGTAAAGGTGGTCAAAAGGTATAGACTTCCAGGGTCGGCCGAGTGGCTCTTTGGCTAAGAGTTGGCTTGAGAATACGAGCTCTGAGCAGCAGGGCCACCAGTTCAGATCCCACATGGGCCAGTGACACTGCGCCCTCTACAGCTAAGATGGTGAACAACAGCTCGACCTGGAGCTGGGCTGCCGTGAATCGCCAGCGATGGTGTAGGCTACAGTGGGGATGCAGTGGGCTGCTGTGAGCTGCCATGAGCTGCAGTAAGCAGCCGTCCAAGGGCTGGCAACTGATCTGCCTCAGCTGGGAAGAGAGCAAAGATCACATACCAACATGGGCCAGTGAAGCGATGTCCTCCACAACTAGGCTGAAGAACAAAAGGACAACAACTTGGCTGTTCCCCTTCCCCAATTCCCCAACGCTGTTCCCCTCCCCCAATTCCTCAATAAAATCTTAAAAAAAAAAAAGAAAGAAAAAAGTGCAGACTTCCAGTTACAAAATAAATAAGTCTCAGGAATGCAATGTACATCATGGTGGTTATAATTAATAATACTGCATTTCATTGCTAAAAGAGTAAATCTTAAAAATGCTCATCACAAGATAAAACATTTTGTAATTATGTATGGTGATGGATGTTAACTAAACTATTGTGGTGATACTTTTGCAATATATACAAATATTGAATCATGTTGCACATCTGAAACTAATATAATGTTATGTATCAATTATATCTCACTTTTTTTAAATGGGCAAAAAACCTGAATAGGTATTTTCCCAAAAAGATATACAAGTGGCAAACAGGTACATGAAAAGTGCTCAACATCACTAATCATCAAGGAAATACAAATCAAAACCACAAAGAGATATTACTTCATACCATTAGAATAACTGTTTTCAAAAATAAAAGATATAACAAGTGTTTGTGAGGATGTGGAGAAAAAAGAACCCTTGTGTACTGTTTGCCCAAATGTAAACTGGTACAGCCACTAAGAAAAACAGTACGGAGATTCCTCAAAAAACTGTCATATGATCCAGCAATTCCATTTCTGGGTATATAACCAAAGGAAATGAAATCATATCTCAAAGAGATATTTGCACCCCTATGTTCATTGCAGCATTATTTACAATGGTTAAGACATGGAAATAACCTAGGGGTCCATGAACAGATGACTGGATAGAGAAAATATGACATGTATATGTACAATGGAATACTATTCATTCATAACAAAGAAAATCCTACCTTTTGCAGCAACATGGATGAAACTTGAGGACATTATGCTAAGAGAAGTAAGTGAGGGAAAGAAAAATACAATATGATATCACTTATATGAGGAATCTAAACATTCCTGTTGCCATTTTCTTAGTCACTACATTATATTGCCTCCCTAACTTAAGGCTCTAACTCTCAAGTCCCTTTTCTGTAAAACCAGAACTGTCAACGGTTCCTAGCTCAGCTGCTGGGGACATTCAATGGCATCAGAGCCCGGCACACAGTAAGCATGCAGGAAATAATGGATGTTCAGCAAATGTTGGTTCTTCACAAGTCTCATATTTCCATTTCAGGCACTCAGCCCTCACCCAGTGGTGACATGCATTTTAAGGGACTTTCGATGATGATTCTGATTAAATCCCAGAATAAACTACTCAGACTTATGAGAAAATGATCTGTGATCTTGGAAAAGTTACTCCACTCTCTGGTCCTGTTCTGTCACTGTTCGTGTTTACCTGGGAAAGTTATGAGAGGATTAAAGGACAGGAGGAAGCCTTATGACAGACATATGTGTGGCTGCTCCTTTCCTCTTCCTCCCTTCATCTCCATTGGCCACGGCAAGGTGGGAGCAACTCTATCCTGATTTAACTAAAATAAGAAAATTAGGAGGATTATTTTCCACAGCAACTAAATATGAGAGACTGTTGAAAGAACTTGGGATGCTTAGTCCAGATAACAAAGGGTTTATGTGAACATAGCTAGCTGAGTACTGGCACCTATTTGAAATCAGAGCTTCTTGACAATCAAGAGAGGCCCAAGCCACTTCCATTTAATGAGGTTTGTGGTATATTAAAGAAAAAAACATTTTTTAAGGAAAAACATTTAATAGTTAAAAAATACTAGAGCAGGGTTACAAATACAATTAACTATTGAACAGTGTGGGGCCACCCCACCCCACCCCAACCTACTCCACAGTAAAAAAATCCAGATATAATTTAAGTCGGCCCTCTGAATACTTGGATTCCTGACCTCACATTTAAAATACAGTTGACCCTTGAACAAGGCGGGTTTGAATTGCACTGGTCCATTTACACGCAGATTTAAAAACTCCTTAAGTGTTACATTTAACAAATATTAACACAAAAAACTGAGCTTGATATAATCCTGCTAGTCATAGAGTAATTACCAGATTTATGTATTTTTTGAAAATCTTAATTCATAATGCACTGCGGGAAGTGTTGGCAGGTAATGCGACACCAATTTTTTTCCATCCTGTCAAGGCACCTACTTAAAGACAATGTCAACATCGGGAGTTTGACAGTGGGTCTGAGTGTGATTTCTCTGTCTCTATGTTTCATGATAGACCTATTGTGAGGGAGATTGGACATTCTGCAAGCCACAGAGATCAGAATGGGACCCTGGAGTGGACATTTGGAGAAGGCTGGTTTCTCCTCCACTGTGCACCCCGGACCCCCTCCCCTCCAGCACATAGCCTGACCCTGAGATGTTGGAGGGGAGGGCAAAGCAGTTTGTGAATTACTATTTTAGCACGGGTGCAGGACATCTATGCGGCTGGAGCAAAGATTTTTAACTTTTGGGGGTTCAGGGAAGCCTCTGAAAATCTGATAAACACTCTGGACCTTCTCCCCAGAAGAATTATATCTCCCCACTCACTCACCCGCGCACAGTTTTACCCCCGCAAGAAGTCCCCAGGAGTCCATGGACTCCAGGGTGAAACCCCTGGCCTGAGGATGGCTCTGGCACTCTCTAGGGTCGTCATCTATTCTGAGTTCTCTCCCAGGTCCCGCCTGGCACCTGGGAGCCCTGCCTCGGGCGTAAGCTGGCTGTGGGCGGTGGGCGGTGCCCAGCCCTTGGCCATAGACGCGCTCCAGTCTCCACAGGTCCCAGGACTCGAGCTGCGCAGCCAGAGTGGAGCTGGCACCAGGAGGCTGCGCTGCCCGGCCCCCGATCCAGTTTGAGGACGCCAAGGGCAAAGGGCAAGCGGGAGCAGGGCCCCACTCCGGACGGCTTGGCTAGCCAGGCTGCGCCCACCGCCCCGGGGCTCCGAGCCGAGCGCTGCGTCTCCTCTGGTCCGGCTCCTGCAGTGTTAGCGGAGCCCGGGGTCGCGGACGGCGCCAGCGCCACAGGCTCGGTTCGTCCGCTGCAACCCCAACCCGGACTCGCGGACTGAGCCTCCGGCACCACCCGAGCCATGAAGATGCACTTCTGTATTCCGGTGTCCCAGCAGCAGCCGGACGCGCTGGGGGGACGCTACACGGTACGCCGGGGGCTGAGGTCCGACTGGGCAGGGAGGAGGCGGTGACATGGTCGGGGCTCACCAGATCGCTGGGCTAATCCGGGATGGGACGTCTCTGTGTTGGCAGCTGTACTCCGTGTACCTGGACGGGTTCCTCTTCTGCAGGGTGCGCTACAGCCAGCTACATCGTTGGAACGAACAGGTGAGCTGGTTCGAGGCAGGTACCAGCCCGTTCATGTGAGGCAAATGAGGAAAAGTACACCCAGTGGGGTCTGGGAACGTGACTCTGGCAAGATACTGGGCCTTTTGAGGGCTCCAGGCTCCTAATCTGTGAAACAGGGTTGTGGTAAGAATTAATTGTGAATTGCTTGGCAAACAACTCAGTGAATACATGTTGCTGCTCCTAACCATCTACAACTGGGAGATGAGGGAACAGAGTACAGATGATCCTCCCAACCAACCCCTTTCCAGCCCAATGATCACCACCAGCTCCACCTGGCAGGGTGCTGGGCGATGGTGGGCTCCAGTTCAGTGCCAGCTGTACCCCAGGACAATGTCCCCATTAAAATGAGCAAACCAAGTCTAGACCAAGGCGCAGTCTTAGAAATCGTGCACATGGTATTTAATCTCCTTTCTCCCAGAGTTCTTAAGCTTACCCCCCTTTAAAAAGGTATGTCTTTATTTTTGTTTTCAAACCACTGTATTCATAGGCTTCAAGTACTGGCAGGCTTGGAAACCCAGGAAACAGATAACGATAACATGAAGACAAGAGACCATGTCCCACTGTAGTTTCTCACTCTGATGTCCTGATAGAACTTTCTCTGGGACAAGACAGATTTATTAGCCTGCTCTAATGGGTTTTATTATACTAACAAAGAAGTGTTGCAAGTCTTCAAAATGGGGGTTAGGGGAGTCAAGTTCGGAAATAAACTTCACCCTCTCTCCCACCCCATGCACAGTATTTTCTTTTTTTTAATTTATTTTTTAGATTTTGTATCCTGATAATAAAGAGGAGAGAGAGAGAGAGAGAGAGAGAGAGAGAGAGAGAAAAGCATGGGAGAAGCGAGGGAGAAGCGAGGGAGGGAGGGAAGGAAGGAATCTTGCCCAAGCAATAACTATTACCATTTTGGGGAAAGTACTTTCAGACAATCTCTGGGGTTCTGGTAAGTATACACACCATTTCCTTCTGTTGATGGACCACTCAGTTTCGTTTTTCTATGAAAAACCTCACTGTAGTGAGCCCTCTTGTTCATACATAAAAAATCCCCAGCTGTAATGTAGTTGCTTATTTGTGTGGTGTCTTTGAATTGCTAGCTCGTGGTACAGTGCCTGTGAACCAGGAGGTCCTCAGCAATGGTTGTCAGATGACTGGATGAGGACGGGCATGGGTTCAGACCTCTGAAAGATGAGAAGTTACTGTGACCAAAACGTGTTTGGAATGTTGGGAAGACTGCAGAGGCAGGCAGATGGGGATCTCAAAGGAAAAGAAAGGTTAGGTGTTTTAGGCATTTGGAGGAGGAAGTTGAGGTATCATCTCCCACCCTCATCTGTTTTTTCTGCAATGTGAGGTAAGATTGGGGCGGTAGCTCTCACAGGGTGAAAAGCAGAAGGTAACAGGGAGGAGGAGGAAGAAGGTGGAATTGACTGGCCAATTTCTGGCTGGTCACCTCACCTCTTTTCTGACCTTCAATTTTCTTATCAGAAATAATAAGCAAATAGGTGGTTATGGATGTCAATGTCACAGGGTACTTGTGCAGATTAGGGACCAGTTTCTCATACAGCCTGGCACATGCTCAGTAAACACTGACTGACTGAAAGGCTTGAAGAATTCCTGAATCTGGCCCTCCATAACCAACAGGCTCAGGAGAATGCTTGTTTTCATAAAACCTTGGATCTAGCAAATACCAGCAGGTCCAGAGGCAGGGACATAAAGTGAGTTAACTTTTATTCTTGATCTTCTATTTTGGAACTCATGAACAAGAAGCTGATTGTGATTCACTACAGTGGACTCTTAAATATTGAATTGCCACAGCCATCTGTAGGGTATACAATAGATATTAATGAATACTTCATATTTGTTCCAGATTTCTCTAATCCTAAAGTGGAGATTTCTTTATCCGGTTTCCAACTACCTTATACCTTGCACTTATCATTGTTTCCCCTTTCTGTAGAAAAAACTCCATTTTAAAGAAACTAGTTAGATATTAGGTGACGATTGATATTTATTATTACTTTAAAACAAAAACTAACATTAAACAGTTACTGTGTGCTAAGGTTGGTGCCGAGAGCTTTACATGTAATAGCGTGTTTAATTTTTACAACAGTTTGATGAGCTAGGATTATAGTTAGCCACATTTAACAGATGAGAAAAGTGAGGCACAACTTGCCTAAAGTCATACTGCTAGTAAGTGTTCGAGCCAGGATTTGATCGCCAGAACCTGGCTCTGACCCATTATGTTTTGTGGTTTCTTACCAAAGTTGACAAAATAAATCGTATTAGTAACACAATTGAGACAAATGATTGAGTTCAAACTAACATGCTTTTACTTTATTTTGGAATAACATAAAATTCCCCAATTTTAGGTGTTCAGAGTGATGCAGCCAATGTATACAAGCACCACCACCATAATAAAGATAGAGAGCAGTTCCCACATTCTAAAAGTTCCCTTGTCTCCTTTGCCCTTGGTCCCCTCCCTCTACCTCTGGCCCCAGGCAACCAAGGTCTGCTTTCTGTCGTCAGAGTTCCAGGCACAGGCTTTAACTCCAGCTGCCCAGCAAGCCCCTGTAAGGTTGGTATTGCAATCGTCATCATTCCTGTTTTATAGACAAAGAGTCTGAGTAAAGTTGCCAGATAGAGCAAATAAAAATACAGGATCCCCAGTGAATTTCAGATAAGCAAAAAAAAACTTTTTTAAGGATAAGTATGTTCTGAGCAATATTTGGGACATACTTCACTGGACGTCCTGTATTTTATCTGGCAACTCTAAGTCTGAGACAAACGTTAGGTGACCTCTCCCAGCCACTTTTCATCTAGATTTTATTCTTTCTATCCCATAGAAGATGTGAAATGGGTCAGAATTCTTAATCTGATTTAACACAAAGCACTATAGAAAAAGAAACAATATGAAGGCCCTATTCGTGTGTGTGTGTGTGTGTGTGTGTGTGGTGAGTATATAAGTGTATTTCCAATTGATTTCCTGAGAAGTTCTGCATCCTGATAGAATAGAAATTTCATCTTATAGAATTAACTGACTTAAGAAATATTTACAAAGTTCCTATTAGATGCCATGCACTGCGTTAAATTAGGTGAAGACTCTGAATTGAGCACGTGTAATTTTTGGCTTTAAGAATTGGATTTGTGTTTTGTATGTTGTGTATTGTTTTGTATTGCTTGTATATTAGAACTCTAAGATTGAGGAGGAGCACCTGGCCCAGGTGAGATGGACCCTGCTCCTTCTCAGCCAAGTTACGTGAAAGCTAATGCATGTAAGACCAAACCTGGGGAGAGGTGGTTATGTTTCCAAGAGGTCAGTTGCCTGAAGTCACTGCCTGCAGCCCTGTCCCCTGGTGAGGCTCCCTTGAGGTCTGGCAGCTTGCCTCCTCTGCTGCTGAATGCTGTCCATCTCTCGGCCATGTGAACTGCCTGACCTCACTTCTTTCTGTGCCTTTAAATGAATAAAACCAGTTTGATTTATGTCCCTGCCCTTGCCTGCACCAAATCCCTCAAATGGACTTAAAGAAATCTACGAAGGAAACATTTAACTGGCTTGTTTTAGCCAAGTATTAAAATGAGGCCATCTGTGTAAGTGATACTGAACTCTATGAAAAGATGCTTGCCTCTTTGCAAATGTTCTGTCAGCATCAGACATGGCAGTGGGGATCCTTCCCTGGGAGAGGAGGGTTGCGCGAGACCACATGCACTGGTCCAGGCTTCCTCCCTGCCCAGGGCCAACCCAGCTTGGCTCCTTCTCCTCTTTCACCTGATCTTCCCTCTTCCCCAGTCAAACCCTCTGTTGTATTAGGCTGGTCCATTCATTGCCTCTGCCTGGCTCATGTCCCCCTCCTGGAAGGACTCCAGTTTCTGGCCAACTGGTCAGGGACCAGCTTTTTCTCAAGGCCCACCTTAAGCCTCACCTCCTCTGGGAAGTCCCCCTTGATGGCACGAGATGGCTTTCTCTGATTCCTGTGCCACTTCGTGTATAGACCTTACCATGTTTCTCCTTTTGTAAGTATATTTTGTCTGCCCTGATTATTTAGTTGCAAAAGCTAAATTTTTTTATTTATTTAAGATTTTATTGAGGAATTGGGGCAGGGGAACAGCATTGAGAAAACGGGGAAGGGGAACAGACAAGTTGCTGTCCTTTTGTTCTTTAGCCTAGTTGTGGAGGATGTCGCTTCACTGGCCCATGTTGGTATTATCATTGCGCTCTTCCTGGGTGAGGCAGATCGGTCGCGGCCACTGGACGGCCACTCACGGCAGCTCTCGGCAGCTCACGTTGGCTGCCGGCCGCTCACAGCAGCCCAGCTCCAGGTCGAACTGTTGTTGACCATCTTAGCTGTAGAGGGCAGTGTCACTGGCCCGCATGTGGGATCCAAACTGGGGCCCTGCTGCTCAGAGCTGGCGTCCCAAGCCAGCTGTTAACCAACGTGCCACTCGACTGGCCCACAAAAGCTAAATATTTAAATAAAGGAATGAAGGCTGTAGGCATGCATACTCAGCACAGCATCCTACTTTAGTAGATACTCAATAGAAATTTGGTAAAGAAGGAGGAGGAGGAGGAAAGGAGGAGGTAAATGAGGGGGAGGAGAAGAAAAAAGTAGTGAAGAAACTGTCCAAGTTCTGCCACTCATTATCTTGTAGGACCTCTGTTTAAGTCATTTCCCTCCCTAAGCTTGAGGTTACTCTTGTTGTCAAGTAATCTTGTCAAGGTGAAAGGATGTTGTCAGGTACCCACATTGTGGGAGGATGGCAGTGTTAATGGTGAAGATGATCATCTACCTCACAGAGTTGTTTTGAAGAACAAATGGGATTATGTATAAACTCCAGGCTAATGTTCTTTGGTACCAAGTGCCACAGCCCAGATTGCTTTGAGCTGTGGCTCTTTATCTGAAGAATCTGGGATTTTGATTACAAGGGGCCTTAAAGAGGTAGGATGAGTGAGTCAACATTAGAAAAAGAGATGGTAGAAAGGCCATTGTGTCTGTAATTCCATTTGTCCCAGGTCACCCTGCAAGTGCATAGCCCAGAAGGAGGTAATATTTTCGATTGACCAGTAAAGCCTTCTTTGTGTTAAAATGCAGAACTGCACGATGGAAAAACCAGTGTAGGAGATTGTGCTGGGATTAAAAAAATATATTATCTGAACATGGTCTTTCAAAAAAAAAAAAAAAAGATCAAACAAACAAAAACACCTCACAACAAAAGAACAGAAATGTGTTTTCCTTTTGGTCTCTTGAAACAATTTTTTGAAAGAGTGGGCTAAACTGTAATACCAGATAATTCTCAGTATGCTACTGGCTTTAATACCTAAACTGTGTGCTGTCTGAGACCATTAGGAAAGGCTATATTTTGATAGAGTTGAAGAACTTGTGAGTTGATGAGTGACTTTTGGCAGACTTGACTAGTTTACTGTATGTATGTTTATCTTCCCCCTTCCACCAATATTAGAGACGGGAGGGGAAAGATTCTTTGAGAAGTCAGCTCAGGTTGTAAAACCAGCTGGGAGAGTTTTTGCTCCGTGATGTGGATTAAAACCTTAATCCTTGTTGACTTTCCCCCCCAGATCTTGGCTTTAGGGAAGGGGCTTTTAAAAACTGCTCTCCTACAGATGGATAACCTAGGCAGCCCTGCTGGTTCAAGGATGCTGTGATTCAAACCAATTTGGGAGCATCTGTGATATTTATGAACACATGCCAACAAAGACAATTGCCTTTTAAAGATCACTTAATCAGTTAATCAAAAAATAATTGCATGAGAAGAAGACAGGATTTTGCTTCCAGTTAATGGAATTAGCAGAAATGGGGTCCAGAAATTCCAGGATATTTGAGCAGCTCTGCTGGGGATAAGGTTCCATCCCAGTTGCCTTTGGACAGTCTCTGGCATGGCAGGAAAATATCCTTGAATTTAAAATAAACAGAATTGTTGTTATAATATTTTATACTATTAATACTAGATTTAGAAGAAAGTTTGCAAACAAATGGCTACAGGGGTGAGGCAGGTAATTTAAATGAAAGACGTGGATCAGGTGAGAGGCAATGAGGGGTGGTGGAAACTGCTTAGGTCTCCAAAGGCGATGGTTGCCTGAGAGAATGGGAACCAGGTTATTCTAGACCTTCTGACTTTTCGAGAGAAGCCAGAATATGAGATTTTTTTAAAAACTTTAATTTTGTAGACCACTTTTAGATTTACAGAAAAACTGCAGAGATAGTACAGAGTTCCACCCAGTTTTCCCTATTGTTTTCCATTAGTATGGTACATTTATTACAGTTAATGAACCAGTATTTTTACAATATTATTAAGTATAGTCCATAATTTATTTAGACTTTACTTAAAGTCCTTAGTGTTCACCTCATGTCCTATTTCTGTTGTCATGTCTCCTTAGGCTCCTATTGACTGTGACAGTTTCTCAGACTTTCCTTGTTTTAATGACATTGACTGTCTTGAGAAGTACTGGTCAGATATTTTGTGGAATGTCCCTCTCTTGGAATCTCATGTTTTCACATGACCAGACTGGGGTGATATGTTTTGGGAAGGGAGACCACAAAGGTCAAGTCCCATTATTTTTTAATTGGCAGCTCACACTGGCTGCTGGCCGCTCATGCTGGCTGCCAGCCACACACGGTAGCTTATGGCAGCCCACTGCAGCAGGGGCTGCAGCCTATGCCGTCACTGGCGACTCATGGCGGCCCAGCTCCAGGTCGAGCTGCTGCTCACCATCTTAGCTGTAGAGGGCAGTGTCACTGGCCCCTCATGTGGCATCCAAACTGAGGCCCTGCTGCTCAGAACTGGCGTCCCAAGCCAGCTCTTAACGAACATGCCATTCGGCTGGCCCTCGAGTGCCATTCTAATCACATCATATCAAGGCTACCTGCTAGCAACACGACTAATTACTGTTGATGTTGACCTCTTACTGAGGCAATGTTTGCCAGGTTTCACCACTGTAACCCTTTTACTTCCCCTTTCATAGTGCACTCTTTGGATGGAAGTCACTATGCACAGCCCACATTTAAAGAGTGGAAGTGGGAAGTTATACTCTATCTCATTGTGGGATGAGTGTCTACATAAATTATTTAGGATTCTATTGTACAGAGATTTGTCTATTCACTCCTGTTTATTTATTTATTCAATAATTTATATCTGTATGGACTCCTGCATATTCACTTTATACTTTGGGTTATACTTCAATATGACTTTATTTTCTTGCTCAAATTATTTTAACTTTGGCCTGTGGGAGTGCTTTCAGTTTGTTCCTATGTCTTTTTGATATACCCCATTGTTGATTTTTTGTTTTTGCTGTTTTTTTATTTTATTTTATTTTATTGGGGAACAGTGTGTTTTTCCAGGACCCATCAGTTCCAAGTCAAGTCGTTGTTTTCAGTCTAGTTGTGGGGGCGCAACTCAACTCCAAGTTCAGTCACTGTTTTCAATCTAGTTGTGGGGGGCACAGCCCACCATCCCATAAGGGAATTGAACCGGCAACCTTGTTGTTCAGAGCATGCACTCCAACTAGCTGAGCCACCTGGCCACCCCTGCTGTTGTTGTTTTGAGTACTTCCTTGTTTTCTGATGCTACAAGATGCTCCAGCCTCATCGTGCATCCTTACTGCCTCAGTCTTAGAATCAGCCATTTCTCCATGGAGCCCTGGTGGCTTTTATTGGAGAACAGTATTAAAAATCAAGATCTAGGCACTAGGTGTTTGTTGCCACTGCATTGTTGTTGCTTCCAGTTCCTCACAGCTGACAGAGTTAGGAATATATATGTGTGTATATGCATATCTGTAAATAGTTCTATATGTAACCATCTGTATCTGCGAGGTGTGATCAAACAATATGGTGAATGTTTAAATAAAAAAAAATTATTATAGGGCCGGCCGAGTGTCGCGATGGTTAAGAACTGGCTTGGGATGCCAGAGGACCCCGGTTCGGATCCCACATATGAGGGCCAGTGACATTGCCCTCTACAGCTAAGATGCTGAACAACAGCTCAACCTGGAGCTGGGCTGCCGAGAGTCGCTGGCGACGGCGTAGGCTGCAGCCCCTGTGGCAGTGGGTTGCCATGGGCTACCGTGTGTAGCCAGCAGCCTCAGTGAGCGGCCGTCCAGAAGCTGGCGACTGATCTGCCTCGCCCGGGAGGAGCGCAATGATGATGCCAACTTGGGCCAGTGGGGCAACATCCTCCACAACTAGACTGAAGAACAAAACGACAGCAACTTGTCTGTTCCCCTTCCCCCAATTCCCCAGCGCTGTTCCCATCCCCCCAATTCCTCAATAAAAATCTTAAAAAAAAATTATTATAGTAAAAGACACATTGCCATTAATCCACCTCAAAACACTTCCCCTTGCTTTGAACACACTTACCCATCGTTCTTGCCACTTTCTGAAGCAGTTCTGGAAGTCCTCTTTCGTGAGTGTTTTTGTTTGTTCTTTTTTTTTTTTAAGATTTTTATTGGGGAATTGGGAGATGGGAACAGCGCTGGGGAATTGGGGGAAGGGGAACAGACAAGTTGCTCTCCTTTTGTTCTTCAGTCTAGTTGTGGAGGACGTTGCTTCACTGGCCCAAGTTGGCACCATCATTGCGCTCCTCCCGGGCGAGGCAGATCAGTCGCCAGCTTCTGGATGGCCACTCACAGGGGCTGCTGGCCGCTCACGCTGGCTGCTGGCTACGTACGGTAGCCCATGGCAACCCAGTGCCACAGGGACTGCAGCCTATGAAGTTGCTGGCGACTCACGGCAGCCCAGCTCCAGGTTGAGCTGTTGTTCAGCATCTTAGCTGTAGAGGGCAGTGTCACTGGCCCTCACATGTGGGATCCGAACCGGGGCCCTCTGGCGTCCCAAACCAGTTCTTAACCATCGTGCCACTCGGCCGGCCCCCGTGAGTGTTTTTAATTGTGCAGTCATGGCTGCCTCGATGTCATGAATCATTTTGACTTTGGGGAAGAGCCAGAAGTTGCATGGTGCCAGACCTGGTGAATAAGGTGGATGAGGACACACCATGTTTTTATTTGACAGAAATTGCTGTATACCAGAAGCGATGTGTGACACGGAGTATTGTCATGATGGAGGTTGATTTACAGCACATTTTAAAACACATGTTTTCTCAAACATAACTCACACCTGACTGCCTGCACTGAACAAGGTGAAACTTGTCACACACAGTTATTAAGGCTCGACGTGCCACTTCCTCTATTGAAGACCCCTGCCTTTCCGTTGGATGGCACTCAGCTGTAGCATTCACCATATGTTTTTATCAAAACGGAAAGGCTCCATATCTCTAGAAACCTCCTTAAGCCAAAGTATCCCTCCTTTTGGCCACTAGGAAGGGTTAATTTTAAATAAAGTGCTGGAGTGAGATGTGCCCTAAGTGGAGGCTTTGGTATCTCATCAACCTTGAATTAGAGGCTCTTTGCCATAAATGTATGTTTTCTGAATCTTTCAGCTGAGACGGGTCTTTGGAAATTGCCTGCCTCCTTTTCCACCAAAGTACTATCTTGCAATGACCACATCTATGGCTGCTGAGAGAAGGGACCAGTTGGAACAATATTTGCAAAATGGTAAGTATTTGGATTTTTCATATACAGATTTATTGAGATTTAGGTTACACACCATAAAACTCACTCATTTAGATATACAGTTATTAGTATATTTACTGGACTGTACAGTCATCACCATGATCTAATTTGAGAACACTTTCATCACTCCAGAAAGAAACCTCATACCTATTATCAGTCACTCCCTAGTCTTCTTCTCCGCCGGCCCCTGTCACTCACTACACTAATTTCTGTCTTTATAGAGTTGCCTGTTCTAGACATTTCAGATAAATGGACTCACACAATACATGGACTTTGTATTTGGTTTTAAAAATACTTTTTCTTTTCTCTAGCTTACTTCATTGTAAGACTATAGTTTATAAGACATAAAATTTGTGTTGACTGTTTAAGTTATCAGTAATGCTTCTGGTCAACAAAAGGCTATTAGTAGTTAAGGTTTGGGGGAGTCAAACATTATACTCAGATTTTCCACTGCATGGTGGTCAGTGTCCCTAACCCCCACGATGTTCAAGTGTCAACTGTATACAATGAAAGGTACATTCCCGTCCATCTCAGACCCCCAGGCTTCTAGAAGTAAACACTGTTACAAGTGGCTTAAGTATTCCTCAGAAAATATTTGTGTGTATAATAGTGTGCATTATATCCCTGTTTGTTCAACACTAATTGAAATTAAAAAAAATATTAAATTTATTGATATGAGGTTTCAAGTGTTCAATTCTGTAATACATCATCTATATATCACATTGTGTGTTCACCACCCAGAGTCAGTTCTCCTACCATCACCATGTATTTTACCCCCTTTACCCTGTTCTGCCAACCCCATCTCATTCCTTACCCTCTGGTAAACACTAAACTGTTGTCTGTGTCTATGATTTGTTTGTTGTTTGTCTTGTTCATTTGTTGCTTTCAGTTTTATATCCCACATATGAGTTCTTGACTTTTTCTGTCTGACTTATTTTGCTTAGCATGATAATCTCAAGATCCATCCATGTTGTCACAAATGGCAGTATTTCATCTTTTCTTATGGCCAAGTAATATTCCATTGTATATATGTACCACATCTTTTTTATCCAATCATCTATCAAAGGACACTGGTTGTTTCCATGTCTTGGCCACCGTGAATAATGCTGCAATAAACATAGGGGTACACATATCTTTATGGATAAATGTTTTCAGATATTTTGGGATAGATAACCCAGAAGGGGGATTGCTGGGTCGTATGGTAATTCTATTCTTAATTTTTTGAGGAGCCTCCATACTGTTTTTCATAGTGACTGTACCAACTTACATTCCCACCAGTAGTATATGAAGGTTCCTTTTTCTCCACAATTTCTCCAACACTTGTTATTACTTGTCTTGATAACAGCCATTCTAACAGGTGTGAGGTGATATCTTACTGTGGTTTTCATTTGCATTCCCCTAATAGCTAGTGAAGTTGAGGATTTTTTCATATATCTGTTGGCCATTTGTTTGTTTTCTTAGGAGAAGTGGCTGTTCAGGTCCTCTGACCATTTTTTTTTTTTTTAGCTGAGCCATCCTGCCACCTGTTGGCAGCTCAGTGGCAACTCAGCTCGGGCCGGCCATCGAACCACTGTTGCTCAGAGCTCAACTCTTGAGTGAGCTCTTAACCAACTGAGCCACTCGGCCGGTCCTTCCTCTGACCATTTTTTAATTGGATTTTTGTTGTTGTTGAGTTGTATGAATTCTTTATATATTTTTAATATTAGCCCCGTATCAGAGGTATTGTTTGCAAATATCTTCTCCCATTCAGTTGGTTGTGTCTTTACTTTGTTGATGGTTTCTTATGCTTTGCAGAGGCTTTTTAGTTTGATATAGTCCCATTCTTTTATTTTTACTTTTACTTCCCTGGACTTTGAGATCAAATTCATAAAACAGAACAAAAATCATCAGATTTGTATGGAATCACAAAAGACCCTGAATAGCCAAAGCAATCCAAAGAAAAAAGAACAAAGCTGGTGGTATCACACTCACTGGCTTCAATTTATACTACAAAGTGACAGTAATCAAAACAGCATGGTATTGGCAGAAAAACAGACACACAGACCAATGGAAGAAATTGAGAATCAAGAAATAAACACACATATATATGGGCAGATACTTTTCAATAAAGGAGCCAAAAACATACAATGGAGAAAAGAATTAAAAAGAGGGACTATTTGAAAGCTATGTGCAAAAGAATGAAACTAGACTGCTATCTGTCACCATATACCAAAAATAACTCAAAATGGATCAAAGACCTTAACATAAGACCTGAAACAATAAATTGCATAGAAGAAAGCATAGGAAGCTAAATTTATGGACCTTGGGTTCAGAGAGAATTTTATGATTTAACACTAATTGAAATTTACTTACATAATTTTCTTTATCTGATTTTTAAAAACTTTTTATTGTGAAAGAATCTCTAACTTACAGAAAAGTGACAAACAAAAGACAAAAATTTCTGTATACGCTTCAGTCAGATTTCCCAAATGTTAACGTTTTACATTGCTTCATTCTCTTTCATTTTCCCACGTGTGTTTGTATTATGATGTGTGTGTATATATACATATACATATAATTTTTGAGTCACTTGTGTTGCACACACAAACCACTTTACCCTTAAATACATCTGTGTGTATTTCCTAAGATCAAGGACATTCCCTTCTATAGCCACAATATGATTACCATATTGTATTAACAGTAATACAGTAATGTTTTCTAATCTACAGACCTTATTCAAACTTCATCAGCTATTCCACAGATGTCCTTCATAGCAAAAGAAAAAAATTTCTTTTGTGTGTTGATTTTTTCCTCTTAAAATATATATCTTACAGAACATTCTAGATCAGCAATTATAGATTTACATCGTTATTTCTCATGGGTGCACATTTTTAAAAAAAATTAGTAAATGAAAATTTTAGAAGTGGTCTATTTCTCATTCATCTTTTGTAATGGAGGATATACCTCTTTCAGGTCTGTTAAATAAGCCCTTTCCAGCTCAAAATGTAATATTTTTTGAATTTTTGTTCTCTCTTGGTTTATTTTCTCATGTCTTAGAAAAATACTTCTTTAACAACTAGCCTTTCACAAACAATCACAGTACTTAAGGGGTCACTTTCCCAGGCGTGGCCTTTATCCATATCATCAGGATGTCTCGTAAATCCGCTTTAGCAAGATGGATATTGAGCTATTTGGGTATGCATGAATAAAGTGAGATTTCTGGAAACAGTTACGTGGCTTTGGTGCGATGGGTTCATGTTGTCAAAGCTTCCTGGAGGAGGCAAGCTCTGCAGCTTTTCATGTATCTGAGAGGTCACAAACTCCACTGCCTTCGAGGATGCAGCATTGCTTGAGAAGGCCTGGAGGGTTCCCTGGAAGACAGAGCATTTTAGTAGAGAAGTCAACCCAGCCCCGTGCTAACCTGGCTTGCTGTCCATGTTTTTCAGTAACCGTGGACCCAAACATGTTGAGAAGTGATGTCTTCGTTGATTTTTTAAAACTGGTCCAGCTGGTAAGCTTGTTCTTCCTTACTAATGTCATATTTTGATGCAGAACATGCCTCTTGGTTAACCATGTATGCGTTTCTAGCCATCCACCCCCAAAGAAGCTTACCTCAACCGAAATCAGTGTTGCTGTATCAAACAGAACATTGGAGACTTGACACAAGATGGGCGTGTTTCTGGGAGATGTGGTGGAGGGCACCTTGGTCAGGGAGCCTTTCTAAAAGAAGTGACATCTAAGCTGGTATTGGAAGATTTCTGGGGTGGGCAGGGAGATAAGATTATACTCTAGCTTTTTTTCCCATTAGAGGAAAAAACAAAACAAACCCATAGTATCTGGTGGTCAGGAAAAGGGAAGAAATCACTGCTTCTTATTGGGGGTGGGTCTACTCCAGCTGCCAGTAGACACTTCCCCTGGATCCTCTAGGGCCAGAGTGATTTATTAGTAAAAAAAAAGGTGCAGTCAAAGCAGGAGAGAATCTGCTGGCCAAGCTTGCAGCAAGATTGCTCCTGCAGGGCTGGTGGGAGCTACGAGGTCAGGAATGAGCAGTGGTGATATGTGGATGTGACAGACCATGAAAGGAGCCCAAGGAGACAGATGAGGCAGTTTCGCCACCTCAGTATTATACAGACTCCACCTGGATATTTCCACTGCATCTCATATGTTTTTGGCCTGCAGTTTCCAAGTGGTTATTGCCAAATAGCCACATGCTCACAGGCCTGGCTCTCCAGGGCTCAGCAATACAAGAACACTTTCCTGTCTCTGGGCAAGGACACACAACATTAGAAACGTGAATACATGTGACATTTCAGGAGTCCAGGGCAAGCGTTTACCGAAGATGGCCAAAGGCAAGCTGCAAAAATAAGAGGGGTTTGCTTCTACAGGGGTGTTTAATCTGTGCTAGGCTGGTGCCTTAGGTGCAGCATCTCATTTATCCCTTGCAGCTTGTTAAAAGAGGTGCTATTAGTATCTGTTTCTCAGGTTAAGTGACTTGTCCAAGGGCACCTATCTTGTAAGTGGAAGAGATGGGATCTGAACCCAGAGCCCCTTCTCCATTGAGGTTGGGAGGTATTTCTAGAGTGGTTGTAGCCTACCCAGCCTGGCACCCCAATAGGTCCCCCTTGTTTTCTGTGTCTAGACCCCCTTGACTTATTATGCTCTGTGCTTCTGCCCTGTGATCGCCGTAGAGATGAAGGGACATTTTTTTTTTTTGGTAAGTGTGTATACCTTTATTGGAAGGTATACTCCAATATAATGACTGAATGACTGAATGACTGAAACTCCAACTTCATAATTGCATTGTATTGTATACAATATGCAAAAACAAAAGAGGAGCTGATATATCTTTAGCACCTATTAGATGCTAAGTTCTATGCTAACTGTTTTCAATTACATATCTTTTAATCCTCATATGAACTCCTAGACAGTTTTATTAGACAGGGATATTGAGGCTTAGAGTTTTATAAATTTGTCCAAAGTAAAATTGCTAGCAGGCTCTTGCAGAGCTGAGGCTTGAACCCTCTTATTTCAGAGTACATAGCCATTTCACCATGACACATTTCCAAGTGTTGCAGGCAATACACAGGTAAATAAAATGCAGCCTCTAGGAACTTGGGAAGTGAGATGTATATTGATAAATGATAATACATGAATTTTATTATTAAAAAGATCCAGTATTGCCATCTTAGGTATTGATGAAGGGACTTTTGAAAAGGCAAAACTGAAGTCTTTAGACTAAAGACCTTTTTATGTTCCTGGTTCTTAAACTGTCATGTTCTATGGCCTCGTGTGAACAACATATTTGAGAGAAAGAAGACTGAGGAGGTATTTGGAGTGGCTTTTGTGTGTCTGGGAAGTTAGGGTAACTTACATATTTGGGAAGTTTTGCCCATCGTGGCGATGTTTAGGGGATCTGTTTCCTCATTTCCTCTTAAGAAGGTTTCCCTTGTAGCTAAATGATTAGGGCCCATTATTAAATGTGGTGAAACTTAGAGCTTGGCGAGTCCAAGTATGGATTTTCTTGGGTAAGAAACCTCAGGAATAAGTACCATGGCTATCAGACATTCCTCTACCTCAGAGCAGAGTCAATAAAGCACTCTGATTGATCTTTGGGAAACTAACACATTTCTCAGGTTATTAAATTTGATTGGAAATGAATTAGCACATGTTTTAAAGTGTGTTAAGGTAGTCCATGGTATGGGAGGATGTCAATGTTTCTTAAAGACAAATGTGTTCAATTTTCTAGTGCGAATTGTTCATTTTGTTTCTTGATCCACCCTAGATCAGGATGACAGCTTAGTTAAGGTTTTGTTTTTCTGCAATCCAAATCCACCTAGTTTGCTTTTTTCCTCTAATTGTGTTTTTATGTTGCTTTACCATTTTATTAATTATACACATTCAAGTAAAGTTCTGATATCACAAAGAGAGCCAAACTTTTCTTTGATCACCACTCCAAACCTAGAATGTTTTACCTGCTGTGCACTGGCTTTTATCTCATAATATAAAGGTTTTTCTTTTTTTTCTTTGCTTTTTTTTTTTAAAGATTTTATTGGGGAATCGGGGAAGGAGAACATACAAGTTGCTGTCCTTTTGTTCTTCAGTTTAGTTGTAGAGGACGTCGCTTCACTGGCCCATGTTGGTATTATCATTGTGCTCTTCCCGGGTGAGGCAGATCGGTCGCCAGCCACTGGACGGTTGCTCATGGCGGCTCTTGGCAGCTCATGCTGGCTGCCGGGCACTCATGGTAGATTATGGCAGCCCATTGCAGCTTCACTGCAGCCTATGCTGTCGCTGGTGACTCATGGCAGCCCCAAGCTCCAGGTTGAGCTATTGTTCACCATCTTAGCTGTAGAAGGCGCAGTGTCACTGGCCCTCATGTGGGATCCAAACCGGGGCCCTGCTACTCAGAGCTGGTGTCCCAAGCCAACTCTTAACCAACGTGCCACTTGGCCGGCCCTCATAATATAAAGGTTTTTCGATGCCATAATGTATCTTCTTTACCATATTGTTCAAAAAATTTTTTTCCAAAGCAAAACATGTTCATGTTTTAAAAAGTAAAATAGTGCTAAAGAGGATTATAACATAACTATCTCCTGCTCTCCAGAGGAAATGGCTTTCAAATCTTTTAGCTTTTTTTTCAGAGACTTAAAAATCTGGAGGTTAATGACATACATGTCTAACTTTCTCTTGTTCTTCAATTTGTAGACATCTTCAATTTGTAGACATTATCTGCTTTGGGTGATGAGGATTTCAGCTTTTTTTCCCCCCAACTTTCTCATATCACCTTCTTCCATTCCTCTCTTCTTCCCAATTTTGTTATGTAACAATTAAAAAAATTTAAATCCTCAGTATTTTGATCACTATAATATGTAACTATTTCTTACTGCTGAATAAACAATGTTTGTAATTACCTTTACTTTCTTAAACAACTTTTGTTTTTCCTGGAGTTACAATGGCATCACTTAAAAGAAAAACATATGCTTAGTTGTCTTTAAACATATAACTCTTTCCATACCTATAACAGTGCTGAAAACAGCATTTTCCCCACAGTCTATCCAGTCAGATTGTTTTCTTGGAGGGGATTCATCCAGAATCTCTGTTAAAGATGAGAGAGATTTGAGTAAGTTTTCCTGCTAGTGGGAAATAGCCAGTAGAAAAAGAGAGTTTGAGACTGGAGTGGGCGTGATTTGTCTTAATAAGCAATAGCACCAAGTATTTGAGGAAGGAGGATTGAACATGAATTGGGATCAGGTGGAGGAAGGATGCCTTTTAAACCAAGTGTGAGACAAAGAGAAAGAGAAAGATAGGGTGAGGAAACGGGCACGGTCCAAGATTTATGCGTATAAGTAGAGTGAATCCCTTCTTGATGTTTCTTTCATATTATACTTATAGGAGGCAAGGTCAACTGGTGGGTTGAGGGATGTGGTTGGTGGCTCGCAAAAAGTGGAGAAGGTTGAAATAGAGTGTGAGTCAGAACTCTGTTGACTGAAGTAACTGGTAGGACATGCCAGAGAGAAGGAGGGAGACTGAGGGCCAATTGCCAACCAATGTGTCTCATTTCAACCACAGGCAAAGAGTTGGGTGGTCCTTGAAACTTTTGCCTGCCTAGATGTGGAGGTTACCCACTGAGAGAAGGTTACCTCAACTGAAACCATTGTTGCTGTGTCAAACAGAACATTGGAAACTTTAATATTAATGTTTTCTTCTAAAACACCAGTAGTGTAAACATGCAGCGATGGACTAGAGAGAAAGGTAATGTGTATAAACAATCAATTTTTAAATGTTCCATTTTAGCTGCCACCATCCTAGTTTTGTTTCAGCCTCTCACTTAGATTATTTTGAGAAATATGGCACCAAGATTTTTCAAATACCTATTTGTACAGACTGTTCAAAATAAATTACTGCATAATCCCTGCTCTGAAGTTTATCATCTAAGCAGCCATCTAATCCAGCTTTAAACAAATTAAGCATAAAAAAGCCAAGAACATTAAAAAAATAAATACTAGAGTGGATAAGGTGGAGTTCAGTTACTTCCTTATTAGTCAGGCCTTTTTCAGTTGCAAGGGATAAAATCACAAATGCAAAATTTATTCATTTAAATGAAAAGTCGAAGTTTGGCTGGCACTCTCTTCCCGGTCTCTACTCCAAGCTCTGCTTTTTCTCTGTCCTGACTTCATTCTTACATACCCTTTCTCCATGCTGTAAAAATTGCCATTTGCTTCAAGATTAGCAGCCCCAGCTGAAGGAGAATATCCTCAACTTCTATCCTCTTTCTTTCTTTGTTTAAAAAGATTTTATTGGGGAATTGGGAGAGTGGAACAGCGTTGGGGAATCAGGGAAGGGGAACAGACAAGTTGCTGTCCTTTTGTTCTTCAGCCTAGTTGTGGAGGACGCCGCTTCACTGGCCTATGTTGGTGTTATGATCATTGCGCTCTTCCCGGCTGAGGCAGTCGGTCACTGGCCATTGGACGGCAGCTCAGGGCAGCTCATGGCAGCTCACAGCAGCCCAGC